CTCTCTTTCAGCGTTTCTTTAACAAATTTTGATTACTTGCACAATTTTATTGATATATTTTTAATTTGATATAGATGATTATCTCCGAATTGTAACGCCCGTTTTATTTTGATTAAATTCAATTGTGACTTTGCTATGTCTCGTTGCATCGTAGTCGTAGTTGAGTATGTGTTTGGATCGAAGGAAGGAAATTGAATCGGTCGAATTCTAGGGAAATAGTGTAAAATTTCGTAGCAGTTTTAGGAAACTTTGAAAAATCATATCTCTTGATCCGTAAGTCGGATTTGACCCCCGTTTGAAGCGTTGGAAAGATAAAGAGATTTTCTATCTATAAAAAAATTGAAAAAAATTTAATTTTGCTGCTATGACGACCGTCATAGGGTGTGACGACCGTCACACGAGCAAAAACTACAGTTATGCAGAATTTGAACGTGTTCTGGTGGAACGAGATTTTGTAGCAAAAATATATTCCCGTAGACTCTTTTACCCTTAATTACATCATTTTTTGGGAAAGGAAAGACGGAAAAGAGAAGTTACGCATTGAGAGAAGTGGAGAGCGAAGAATCATCCATCGGCGAATTCGGGAGATTTCTGCAGAAAAATCACCGTAGAGCAGAAGCGGAATTGGAAAGCGTGGAATTGGCCTCAATTCTAAGGTAAGTGTGAGGTTCAATTCTATAAATGGGAGTATGATTGAATTCATGTAGGGAATCGAGTCATAGGTATAGTTTTCGTTAATCGATAAATATTAAGGAAAAGGTTTCCCTAATGGGACAAGATTTCTATGTAGGAATGAATGTGTTATGTAGTTATTAGTGCGATGCTCTAAGGTTTTCCTTATGGGCAAATACGTAGAACGAATATGCTATACGGTTATTAGTACAACGCTCTAATGGTTTTCCCTAATGGGCGTCAAGATGGCCGAGTTGGTCTAAGGCGCCAGTTTCAGGTACTGGTCCAAAAAGGACAGTTACCTGGTTGTGATTGATTTGTAACTAATTATGTGAGAAGATGCCGTAATGTTGTTATTACGATAAAATGTTAAAGGTTAATTGTAGAACTGATGTTGATGTTATACCTGTATAGGAATAGTCGTTTTGTGTGAACACTTTGAGTTCCTATTTGTTGATACGATGTTGCAATGTTCCTTTACATGAACAGTCGTAAATGTTGAAATTATGTTGTTATTGTTTCCATATGTGAACGAGTAGAAGGTGATGGTTGTATGAGTGGTATGATGTTATGATGCTCTGTTATGGACATTCTGGTTGTAGGCATAATGTCTTGTTATATGGTTGTTATGGTTGTGTTGTAGTCCATAATAGATGCATTTCATGGCATAACATTTGGCCTGGATTGGCGACGGTTGTGCCTGTATTGGCGTTATTTGGAGTGTTGGCTCCTAGATGGGTTCGGGGTGTTGGCCCTGTCCCGAGTTTTGGAGTGTTGGCTCCTAGATGGGTTCGGGGTGTTGGCCCTGTCCCGAGTTGTGGAGAGTTGTCTCCCAAATTGGTACCACATGCATATGCACAGTTGAGTCGCATTGTTGAGTCACATGAAGTTGCATAATTATGTTAGTTGTATATTAATGTTGTTTTACGTGAGGTACGGATTGTTGCAGTTGTTGTCGATGATGTTTATGATTTCGAAACTTATAATGCTATGATGAGTTTCTGGCATGTTTTCTATCATGCTCTATGTTATATTAATGATATCTCACCCTTTACGTTGTATGTTACCTCCTCTGGTGGTAATTTGCAGGTAGTCCGGAATGAAGTTCCGCTTTGTCGATTAAGTGGTCGTTGGTCGCTCTGATACGTAGCACTCTTGGGGGGATGAACGATTGTTTATGTTGTTTATTTGATGTTTTCTTGTTGCTGAATTTTACTAAGTATTTTAGTTGAATTGGTTGTTTTTGTTAATGCACCGAATGCTGGTTGTACGCACTGGACCGGTGGGTCGGTAGTGCTGAAATTTATGACTGAACTAATTGTTTTGTTGAATCTATACAAGATGATTGCTTGCTGAATTTTAATCGAGTTGGTTGCAAGTTTTATGATTTTACTTTAATCATTAAGAATGTTGGAAGTGTTTTATGTTCCGCTGCAAATTAATAAAATGTTGAGAACTCGATATGTTAAGCAAGCTGTCGTATGTTCATCCAAGTTCATGTGCTATGTATCATTACTGAATGCATGTTGCCTAGTTAAATTAAATGGTAAAATGCATGCTTCTGCTAGCTGAAAAATGTGACGCCCAGGTTTTTGTCTGTGTGACGACCGTCACAAGTCCATGACGACCGTCATGCGTACAAATTTCGTGCACTCTGATTTTGATTTATTTTAAATATGCCTTGGATAAAAATGGGGTGTTACACGAATCGTATGTGTTTCCATTAAAAAAACACTAGTCTATTCATGTAAAAAAAATTTAGCGCTATAGATATATGTAACAACAACTCTTTTATATAGTTTCAACTTACAAGGTCATATGAAATTTTTATCGGTCTGTATTATTTTTCCGATTATTAACGTCTATTTATCCCTTTGTATAAATAATAACTTATATATTTTAATTAAACACAAAATAAAGATAGAACTTTATTCTAAAAATCATTTAATGGACTAAAATATTTAATATTTTTTAATTATCTATTCTTTGTCACAAGGATAAAGTATTTATTTAAAACTCTATTTATATAAATAAAAATTGACATGAAAAATAATTTTTAAAAAAAAACACACTACTAAAAATTAAGGGTGACAATTACATCTATTAAACAAAAATTCATCAATTCATCTATTAAAAAATTTCATCAAATCTATGGAATATATCAAAAGTTAGTTAATGAATTGGATTAAATCTATTCATTTATATAAATGGATGAATCCAATCCATCCAACATTTTTAAAAATCCAATTGATCAATTTTATTTTATATTTTAAATTTATTAAATCATGTTATACTATAATAATAAAAAAATTATTTATGCAATTAAAGTAAAATAATTAAAATAAAATTGATATTTTTAATTTTTGAATGATGTTTTATTTTGTTACGAAAATATCAAAACAAATAATCTCTTTTTAAAATTAATAATGTGTTTGAACTTGGATTTCCAACGTTTGATTAGCAACATTTTATAAACCATGATTAGCAACATTTTATAAACCATGATTAGCAACATTTAAGTTGTGATTACAGTATGTAAGTTGGAGTATTAACGTGTTTTGAATTTGAATTTTTTAAATTTAAATTCATATTGTACAATGTGAACAAAAATACTGCATAATGTGAATAAAACCATTGAGCTGTGATACACGGTCATTTTTTGACGATGTGATCGTTAGTTTACTTGTGGATTTACTGCATATTATACAATGTGAATCAAATTAATAAAAGCTTCTGTTAAAATTCATATTAATTTGGTACCAAATTTGAAATAATAATTGTTAATTTAAAAACTTATTCAGCTCATCCATAAGAACTTATAATAATTAAAAACTTAATATATTTTATAATCAATAAGAATAAATTTTGAAATTAATTTACTATTAGATATTTTTAATTTAAAAAAAAAAAATCATTGCTAATACTCATTCAGCTCATCCATTTTCTTTGGCAGTCACAAAGACATTATTATTTTATTCTTGTATTTACTATCTATTATTGTATGATGTGAAATGCCTTCTCCGGTCACATTTCTTTTAATAAATGTAAATTTATATGCTACGATTTTTTTTTTTTTAATGTTTTCACCCATTTTATGATTAATTTGTTTAAATAGACATTTTATTGTTGACATTATAACTATACAATACATCTAGCAAGTAAATTAATATATGTTTCACTAGTTTAATTTCTAGAATTGAGCAAACTTTCGAGAAGAGCAGTACCGTTGATATTATAGATGAGAGAGAGGAGAGAGATACTTTTATAGCTATATTTTGAAAATTAAAAAATTGCTTTAAAATAATTTTGTTTAAGAAAAATAGATTTAATTTTTTTTTTTGTGAAATTTTAAAAACAGAATGAATTTTTTAAAAATAATAAAAATATTTAAATTTGTATTGGACGGATGGATATCGCTCCATTAAAAAGTTGTTGATCTATAGATTGAATGAATTATATTTTTTAATAGATAAATTGATTGGATTTTTAAACAAACTCTTAGTGGATGGTTAACGGACTAATGAGTTATTTTGATCTATCAATTAACAATATGATCCATATTCATCCAATCAATCCATTTTGTAACCCTACTTCTCTGTTGTTATGCAGATTTACATGCGTATATTGATAAAATTTTCGCAGGAAATATGTTACCTGCGGATTTTTTTTTTTTCGTTTTGTGTTCCCACCTAAAATCTTTGTGGGAATAGTATTGTAAAAAACAATCGCAGGTAAATCCGCAGATAAGGAGAACCTCAAGTCGCATGTAAATCTGCAGATAAGACCACAAGTAATTGATGTTTTTGCACGAAAAGCCGCAGCAAATTTAAAACACGCAGATAAATCCGCAGGTAATTTATTTCTCATATTATTAATTTAATTATTAATTTGTGTTTGATTATTTTTAAAATATTATAACTAATGTTAAATATCAAATTAAGAATAATATAAAAATGAAAATCTAATTTGAATAAGACAATTTAAAACTAATCACATTCAAAATTTAAAGCAACCAAGTTGCTAAATATTATTATAAAGTCAATAATAAGTACTTCTAGAATTACATTACTAAAAATGACAAAAAAACTTCTAATAATCACTTGTCCAACCAAGTTAATAAGAAAAAACAATCCAAATTTCAGACAAGTTAACAGGAAAAAATAATCCAAATCAAAATTTACTACCAATGTGTTCACTAATGTCTTCATCTGATTCATTAACACCCTCTCTTTCTTCTTTCCAAAGAACTTCCCTCATATATCTAAATCAAGTGGTATTTCAATAGTAGGTTTACTATGAGCTTCATCCTCTCCTGGAACAGTTGAATTCTATATTCTGAAATTGTTGTTTCCATTGCAAGAGTATGTTGGAGAGGTTATGGCACTAGAAAACCCGTCTGGCGGAAGCCACTATTACATAAAAACATCAATGTGTCACTAATTCGCGAAAGTGGTTGGTACAAAAGGTGCACCAGTGTTGTAAATATGTGCTTACCTGACAAATCAGTTCCATTTCTGAAGCATCATATATTGTTATCTTTGTCTCATGGCACACCAGCAACTTCACTTCATCAATGTGAAACTGAATTTTAGTCTCACCAGCAACTGCATTTCCACCGCCCGACATTTGGATCGACATTGATTTCTTCTTAACCCGTGTGCTCATGCACCATGACGAAAACTACAAATACATAAAACATATATTCCTTTTTATGATCAAAATACGCAATTTTCGTAACAGTATAATCGAAATCCATTATGTTATAGTACTGCTATATGACAACAATGACTAATATATTTACATAAGTCGCGTTTAAAAATACCTGACCATTGGCGCTCAAAGAAACCATCGTATCCAATCATTGCGAAAAAACTATACCAGTAATGTACTTTTGATGACCTTTCAATATAGATATAAGCTGAAAAGCAAAAAGGTTCAAATAATTATATATATGATTATTGAAAAAATCTAACTATAAACTTTGGATCTCCTTAATTTATATTTTTATTACTTTGTGGTACCTAACATTGATTACATGAATCTCCAGTCTTCCCTTTCGATTATGATAATGTTATTGTCTTCAGGATTAAATGCGAGAAATGTTGCAGCTAGTGGAGGTTGCATAAAACTAGTCATAACCTAAAAAATCCAACAATATTTTGTCACAAAACTCACAAATAATGATATGAAACCGAATAAATTATTCATGAATAACAATAGCTCACTCTAAACGATATTAAGTTGAACAATGAAATGAGTCCGCCACATGCAGAAACACCATAGGAATCATTCTTTGAGATGTCTATACAAGGAATCGCCAAATCACAGTCGTTCGGGACATTAGGAGTCATAAGAAAACCACTAGACGACTGATACTCTTTAGGAACAAATCTCGCCGTCACCTTTAAAAAAAATACAAGAAAACTCAATAATGTTCTCAACATAACATAACACATGCATATACAAACATGGGCGGTTTTAAGGCCCGGCCAGGCTGGGCATGTGCCCAGGCTTGACCCCAAAATTTTTCCTTCTTTTATAAAAGAATATGAAAATTGTGGCGGTTAATAAGTGCTGTTGTGGCGGTTGAAACCGCCACAATTAACGAAAATGCAGAAAAATAGTACTTTTGAATAAAATTTCTCATGCCATAATATATATTAAATAAAAAGGCGGTTTTTTTTTGTTGATAATGGCAGTTTTAACCGCCGTAATTTAAACATTTTTCACAAATAAAACATTTTTTTTTTCTTTTTTATTCAATTAAGCATACATTATATTAATTTTTTTTATATGATAATATTTAGATTCAACTACATTACAAAAAGTGCAAAATTAAAATAAAATTGCTATCTATGACCATATTAACCAAAAACAAAAAATGAATACTGGAAAAAATAAAATTTAACATAAAAGTAGCAGCTACTAAAATTATAAAAAAAACATGTATAGTGTTGTAAAAAAGAAGAAGAAAAAAATAAATTTTATCCTCAAATAATAAAAAAAATATATTAGGTCTAATTCTTCAATTTATGTTCACTCTAAATTATATGGTTCAATTGATGTTAACTAGGAATTTGTATTTTAAATTTAGCTTGTAGTTACAGTAGTTAGTAAATAAAATTATGTTGTTAACTTGTTACTAATTTCAAGAATTATTATGAATCACATGAAATGATATTCCATGTTAGTATCAGCCTCAAATTGGATATGACTATGTTAGTTTTAAAATTCTGCCGAAATCAATTAAATTAAAAATCTTTTATTTTGATTAATAACTATTTATATATACAATATGAATTTATTTTCTTTAAATTTTTGCCCAGGTTTCAAAAACTTTCTGGCTCCGCCACTATATACAAATGACATAAAATTTGGTACAAAAGAAAAATGCATGTATGCATTTTCTTTACACACATCATTCCCATAGGACTCAATGCATTAGGGATCCATTTCAATAATTATGAATCCCTTTCGAACCAAGCGCTAGAAGAGCATCTCCGTTATTTGAATAACGAAGACGAACAACCTTGGTAAAAGATAAAACTTTATCATCAAGAAACTATTGGCACAAAAACTGAAATATTAATCAAGTATCTTTTGCAATAAAGGAAAGGTTGCATTGAATACCTTGTTATCCGGACCCATATTCTCTGGTATAATAACCATTCGATACTGGCCAGGATGAACGATTAATCCGTTCTACAATAGATGAATAACAAAATGGATATCTTGTATGTTAGATTCATGCTAGTATATATATATATATATATATATATATATATATATATATATATATATATATATATATATATATATATATATATATATATATATATATATATATATATATATATATATATATATATATATATATATATATATATATATATATATATATATATATATGCTAGTGAAGATGGTAAGTTATAGACAGATACAAACATTTGTATCAATTCATTGTATAGATGCTTCAATGTCCCTTAATGAAATTCTGGCACGCAGATACCAGATTGTCGCATACTGCAAAAAAGGCCGGTGAAAAAAAACAGAAGAGCCACCACCAAACATTATTTATCCCAAAGAGAGGAAAAGAAAACGATCGGAGAAAACCTAAGAGAAAGGAGAAGACAAGGTCATCGCAACCAAATCTTGGGTTCGGGAGTCGGTTACGCAAGGGGAAGGTATGAACACCCCTCACGTCTGTTGTACTCAACGGTATCTGCGCTTGTTGTATATCAAAAGGGTGAGTTATCTAAAAAGCTACTACTAAATGGGGGAGGGAAAATAAAAGACACTCGATAGGACATCGCCACCCTATGCCTATGAATTCCCTCATGCAATGGGAAAGTCAGAGTCAACATAGTTTGGAAAACTACGGGTGATGGGGGAAATGTTGCTCGCCAAGACATCGTCGTCTTATGCATACGTATCCTCATCTGGTATGAGAAATTAGAGCAAACTTAGTTCGGAAAAACCATACCACTGGTTGGTTAAATGTTTTTTATGAGCGACGTTAAGTTCCCATTCCAGCATTTAGGGTCGATGTCTGTTTGCGGTAGAACAGAAAAGTAACATACTCTTTTATGAAAAATTATTTTAAGAATAATCCCGAAGGATGAAAAGGCTTGAATTTGGTTTAAGAGTTTTAGTGAAGTGAGTTCACTTTGTTTGAGATTTACGTTGCACTAAAGACTATTACATAGGAGCAAATGTGTCGCATATCACCCAAAGGGCATACACTAAACACTCAAGACAAGTGAGGAGAAACCCCGTACTCATCATTTCCCACATACTTAAGGCTCGTGGCGCACAATGTTCATCATTCTTTATTAAGTGTCGTAGAGTTGTTTGAGAAAGAAGAGAAGATACAAAGAAAACACTAAATGGAAACTAAAAATCCTAATGTTATCATACAAGATGGTCCTAAGGTTAGGATGAAAGAGAAGTCTACCTAATGTTATCATACAAATGGTGGACCTAAAATTGAAGTCAAAAGGGACTATCCTAATTGTTATCATGCAAAGGATTGAAAGCTTAATGTTTCTCCTACTCCCATCTTAAACAGAGTGACTAGGAATCATAAGGGATCATGTGAGCAAACACAAGTAAACACCGTACTGATCAATAACAAATGAAAACAAGCTCAAGACTTAATCAAGTCTCGGGAAATGAAAAAGAAGAAAGAAGAATGAGAGATGAAAGAGAAGATGCAACAACACGTAAACAACAAAAAATTCACTCCATAAGACATAAGCATCACACAAACACAAAAAATTAGGTTCAAACATACAAAGTAAACACTAACATCATGTCAAATTAGCAACATGTGCTCACATGTCAAACCATAACCGAAGATTAGAAGTCAAAACAAATAAGCAAAATAAAGCACCAATGCATACACAAATGACTTAAAATCAACCAAGAAGCATTTTCAATCATCAAACATAGTGAAGCGAGGTCAAATGATATGAGAACCAAGGTAGGGCAGCAGAAAAGTCAAGATGTATTCAACTCATGTCAATGGTCGAAGGATGAACAAAAAGATTCAAATCATGCATCGATATCCAAACACAATCAATTGTCACACAAACAATCATGCAAAGACACGCCTCAAAGATGTAAACATGTAAACTCAAGACATGAATCCAAATGGGAAGCAAAATGTACATGTATATCAATACATCGTCAACACACGAATCACAAGAAGAATTCTCAAAAATCAAACTCAAAGTAAACACCAAGACTAGGCAAGCATTTACAAAAATTATCCCTAAAGAAAAGGAAATGTTCAAGAAAAGCACAAGGAACAAATGATCAAGAAAGGCACACGTTATCTTCAATATCAGAACCAAACACAAATGATGCACATCACATTCATATCCAAGTCATAAACCAAACTCAAGAAGGATCATGTTCAAATTATGCTCAAGGAACCACTCAAAATTCTCGTTCGAAGGAAACACAAAATCAAGTGAAGGTATGGATGAGAAATGGTCATATAATGGATATCAAATCATGGGAATCAAACACTCAAACATGTCATTTAAAAACTATAATAAATCACAAACATCCCTTTGACCATACAAGAAAGCAACTCAAAGAATTAGGTTAGGAACACCAAAGGAGTGAGGCCAAAACATCATTAACTTGAGAATTCAACCATAAATTAAAAAATTAATCAAATGAAGATGAGAACAAAGCTCAAACCAACTTAAAATAGTCAAGATTCATCATGAAAAAGATCTCAAAGAGATTGTTCAAATATATCACCAAATCAAACCAAACAAAATCATGTGTGCAACCAATCGGGCATGAATCAAAAGTCAAATAAAACCACATGAAAACTAATTAAAATATGACCAAAAAATCATCAAAGCTACACTAAAACAATCATCAAACAAATGTCCAAACATGGTAGAAATATTGGGCCAAGAAGTATTTCAAAAGTCATCCAACAACAAAGTCTTGTTCAAGGGGTAAACATATAAAAGCACTTGTCAAATTAATTCAAAATAAAATAATAAAATAAATTATAAAATAAAATAAAATAAGTCAAAAAATAAATAACATACAAATGATTAATAAACATATTTTTGTGGAATTTTATCATATTTTTTATCAATTAAAATAAAATGCAAACAAAAGAAAAGAAAAGAAAACAAATGAATAAAAGAGAAAAAGAAAGGAGGGTGCAACAACAAATCTAGAAAGACTACGAAACTGGGCCCAAAATAACAAGGGTGCAGAAAGTAACAGTCTAGGCCCAAATTAATTAATATTGTGACAAAAATAATTAAAAGGATAGTAACATTAAATTATGTAACATTATCAATTGGTCATGTTTTC